GAGGAAGCCTGTGGTAATGCCCCTGGGGTAGAAGTGGGGGAGGGAGAGGGGAAGGGCGAGTTTCAGTTTTATATCCCACGTGCAAGTGAAATCATATGGTTCTTAGCTTTTTCTGACTTATTTCACTTAGCATAATATTCTCAAGGTCTGTCCATGTTGTCACAAATGGCAGCATTTCATCTTTTCTTATGGCTGAGTAGTATTCCATTGTGTATATGTAGCACATCTTCTTCACAAAGGAGCAAAAAACACACAATGGAGAAAGAATGCCTCTTTAATAAATAATGCTGGGAGAATTGGAAAGCCACATGCAAAAGAATGAAGCTGGACTATCGCTCGTCCCCTTGTACAAAAATTAATTCACATATATTCTTAAGTCCTTTATCTGGAGCATGAGCAACTCTGGGAGAGATGCTTTTGGAGAAATGAGGAAGCAAAGATTACCTTCCAAACCAATGAGATAATTGATCAGCATGATGAAGTCAAAGCCAGACTTCCCTCACATCAGGTGTTTTATACACTTGCTATGCTACGAGCATTGAAGATAGCATGTGCATTAGCACATTTTTACATAACTACAAAATAAATCATATCTGTAATGTCTGTTTGCGAGGTTCCATATTTCCTACATAGAGAGCTAAAACATGAAGCTGCAGCTAACTGTTTAGGGCAGCCAGGGTATCAGAGTGGAAAGGCGGGGAGTTTAAAGGGGTCAGAGATCACTGTGGTCCTAAGAATATGGACAGAACTTGCCAAAGAGAGGAGACTTGAGCCACACCCTACAAGGATGCTTGTTATTAACCTGGCCTCCACTATTCCCTGCTTCTTAACCGTTAGTGGATCTTGGCAGTTGGTCATACCGTCTTGGAATAAAGGATAGTTAGGGAGAGCCTAATAATGCCTATTCTAACACTTGGTGCATTTCTGCTTACAAGTTAACTTCTTTTAATTCCAGGATCCTAATAATAGAAACTGTTAACTTTTCCTTGTGCAAGTGTAGCCATCCTGCTCTCTGACAGTTTCTTTACTCTCCATTTAGATTCTAAATATATGGGGCCTGGGATCCTGTGATTCTTGTCCTTACTTCTTAATTCCCTATGGATAAGACTGAGCTGCTTTCTTACATTGTAATCTAATCACTTACTGAGAGGCCTCCGTATTTGTTGAAGGTGATGGATTAGCTTTTCAAGCACCACAGCCCATACAGTGCTGGTTGTCTGGGGCATCCCCATCACCTGCCTTCCCCTGAACTCTATTTCTGTTCCAACCAAATGTGCTCCTGCCTTTTTTCCCTGATCACCCCATTTCCATAGCCCATTAAATATACTTTTAAGGAGATGTCAAGACTTCCCTTAAGAGTATGGGCTTTTACATGTGACAGCACATATGCATAAACCAGGAGATAGGCACTTTGGCAGATGAAATCTGACCAAGTACAGAGAAAACCTTAATTAAGAGCATCCAAGTTAACTTTAAAACACTTCAAATCAATATAGCCTTATTTTTTAAATTAGTAAATGGTTTTAGCTACTAAGTTTCAGCTCAGTTAATAAGCTTTTCTCAAGTTCAGTTGAACTTTTGTCCAATTCACTAAAAATATTTTTAGTAAACTGTTGCTTTAGACAACTGAGCTTTTTCTCTGTGGTGCTTTTTTGCAAAGGGGCTGGTTTCCATATGTGGGCCTTAATTTATACAGTTGCTCTCTGTTCTCCTCTTTGTGATCTTTCATTCTGTTCATTCTAGTTGCTTTGTAAGTTTGAAAAAAAATAGCGTGTAGGTAGACCTGGAAAGAGTACATATGAGCAAAATTATTCTTAAGCAAAATTTATATATTGTAAACTATTTTTCATAGACCATCATCTTGAAACTTATCACAAAGAAATATGGAGATCTTTTCACCATTAACACTGCAGAGATTCATTTATTTAACATTAAACTGGCTTCCCATGCTGTGCCAGATGTAGTTCCAGGTGCTGAGGATTTCACAGTGAACCAGGCAGACAAGGGCCCTGCTCTTGGCCACACACGTTCTGACTGTAATTGCAGTAGAGATGCAGACAACAAACAAATCATCACATACACAGCCATATCCACAACCTCATTACCTGTAGAGCTGTTGAATTTAGTCTCATGGTGCTAGCCCCCCATCTTGAAAGAGGTGTTTAAGGACCTTATTCTGGTACAGGAGAGAAAGGATGGGAAGGTCAAGTTTCTCATGGTTAAACTGGAGCTAAATGTGATTTACTTTCAGAATTATAAAGATGAAAACTCATTCATTCATTAAGCAAATCTTTATTGGACAGTATATCAGTCAGGTTTCTATTATGTTCCAGGCTTTATAATAATTCACACTCTAGTTGGAAAGATGAAGACATAAAATAAATAATTTCAGATAAATGTTATAATGAAAACATATGTCAAAGAGGGAACCACAAAAGCAGTAACTAACTGCCTGGGGGAAGGCTTTATCATACAGTGACCTCTAACCTTTATCTTAAAGGTGACTAGAAATACATGATGCTTCATTTGTTCAGCAAATGTTTACTGAGCACCTTCTGTGAGCCAAGCACAGTTGTAAGCACTGTAGACAGCAGTGAACTAGGCATAATCCCTGCTCTGTTGGCAGCAGGAAAACAAACAATAAACATATAGACAAACAATTATATATTAAATGGTAATACTGCTAATGCAAAAAAAAAATAAAAAATAAAGGATACTGAAGGAAACAGAGAATGATAGGTGCTGTTTTAGAGAGTGTATCTAATGAGATGACATTAGATCAGAAGCCCGAATGACATGAGAGATTGAGACCAAGAAGCAGGGGGAAGTCATTTCAGACAGAAGGAACAGCATGAATAAGACGTAATAATCATGAAAGCATGGCATCTTTAGTGCAAAGTGGGATATTCTCACTGAGCATGCAGTTAGGTGGGGCGCAGGGAGTTGGGGGTGTTTGGTAGATGAAGCTGGGAAAGAATTGGCAGAGGGAGGCATGGAGAGAAGAAAGGAGGACAAAAGGGAGGGGCCAAATGGTGAAAAGCCACGTGTTCCACACTCAGGAGTTTCATTGTTGATATTGTGGCCTGGGGGAAGAGGGGCTAGATTTTGAAAAAAAATTTAAGAGGAAAATGACATGGTTAGATTTTCATTTGGTCAGGTTTGGTCTGGGTTTTGGCAAATTACTCTAACAGCAGTATGCAAGATAAAGTTGAAAGGAGGTGCAGAGAAAGTTAATTATGATGTTACTAGAAGCCTGATGCACGAATTCGTGCACGTGCACAGGTGGGTTCCCTCGGCCTGGACGGTGATCGGGGCCAATTGGGACCATCTTGCCTAGTTCCAATTGGGCCTGCCAACCTGGGGAGGGACCATGGGAGGTTGGCTAGCTGCGGGAGGTTGGCTGTGGGAGCGCACTGACCACCAGGGGCAGCTCCTGCGTTGAGCCTCTGCCCCCTGGTGGTCGGTGTGCATCATAGCTACCGGCCGGTAATGTGGCCTAAATTAAAACAGTAAGATGAGGCTAGAGTTCAGATGTTTTAGAAGACCTATTAAAGTAAAATTTGATTCCCTACAAAATATAGTCAAGGTCAAGAACCACTCCTAGGTTTAAGCTTCATTGATGATGCCATTAACCAGCCTAGGGAGCCTTGGAGGAAAGCAAGTGTAGAAGTGCAGATAATGAATTTTATTTGGGGCACTGGGAAATACATAACTGGAAATTAAAAGTCAAGTCTGAAATACAGATTTGGCTGGGACCAGAATTTCATGGAAATTTAAAAAGGAGAAGGAGCAAGAAGAGGAGTCAGCGTTGTCCGATACTATACAGAAGTATAGTGGGATACGGATTTTTTTTAAAGCCATCAGATTTGACAGTTGGACTCTCACCAGTGATTTCTCGAAGATCAATTTCAGTGGACGTGGTGGCAGAAGCACATGCTTGAATTGGAGAGTGAACGGATTGTCCAGCCCAGGTCACTGTCCTCTTAGGAGCTTTGAACTTGATGCTTTTCTTCTCTTCCCCATCCCTCATTGGCTTTTTCCACCCATGCCCTAAGACTGGGTGCCTGAGCTGCAGACATAGTGGAGGGGAAAACATTCTAAGATTCTTGGGTCTCTGGTGTGCAAGGAGCCAGGATGAGGGGAACCTGGTGTTGGTGAGCCAGGTATTGCAGGGAGCAGTCAGTGGGGAAGAGCTGGTAAGGTCAGTCCAAGACCTGCCTCCAGAGGGGAAGGGAGATGAAGCACATAGGTCTCCAATATAGGCAGGAATTCTGAACCTGGAAGCCAAAGTAGGATGAGGTGCAAAGGACTTTAAGGGCTGGTGGGAGAAACATGGAATTAGTTGAGAACTTGGCCCCGTGAGAAAGTGGAATCTGGCAAAGTGTGGGGGTGAGGGGTAGAATCTGACAGCAAATTGTTAACTGGAAAGTCAGGCAGCGATGTTTAGGTTTCTTGGGACACAGGGCATGAATGTGTGCAAAGGAGAGACTATTGGCAGTACTGTGACCATAAAGATAGCATGAGGGGTCAGTTAATGAATTGAAGGCCAGTCCCAGAGATACCTGGCATATAGACGTTTAACATAGGTTTGTGAAGCCAAATGGGGTCATTCAAATCATGTGGCGGAAAGGAATTAGATACCCGAGTTCTGAAGGGCTGTAAGTAAATACCTAGGTCCCTTTAGGGATAGGATGGAGGCGGTGACTAAGGAATCCCAGGCAGCTTGGAGGTCCAAAGCTCAGGGAGGGAGTTGGAAGTGAAGTTCAGGGCAGAGGGCGCATTTCCTTAACCCTGGAGACCCTAAGACTTAACTGGTGGGACTATTGGATTTCCCCACCACGGAACACACCCTTGGCCTGTTTCTCTTGCCTGCACTGCCATCTCCACCCTCTGGGGGGCGGGGCTCGAGGGCAAGGCAGGTAGGTGGCTGTTGTGAAGCCTCGAGAGCCACCAGTTCTTACCAGACTTCCTGCGTGGGGTGTGGGGTGCGGTTTTACTCCATGGCGGAGCGCAAGCCCTTCCACTTGTCCCCTCAGCCAGTTGGTGGTGGGGGCGGGCCCAGAGGGCCAATGCCAGTGGGTATTGACTCTCCAATTTGGTTGAGTGCCCATGCGGCCCCTGGCAGTTTGATGGTCAGGCCGGGTATCCAGATGGGAATCTCCCCGAGCCCTGAGGTGTGGGCGGTGCCCCTGAATCCCCCGTCATACAAATTGCGGGGCGGGGCGGTGCCCTGCGAGGCCCGGGTCGGAGCTGGCGAGGCGGGGACCTGGCTGCAGAGCCCTTCGGAAGGCACTCTCCGTGGGCCTCTCAGCGCCCTGCGGTACATCCCGAGGTTGGCGCTGCCCGAGGACACCTCGGCCGTGGAGAAAGAGATGGAACAGCTGGCCAAGGAGCTGAGAGAGAGGAGGATGACCCTTGGGTACTCGCAGGCCGACGTGGGGTTCGCTGTGGGAGCTCTTTTTGGAAAGGTGCTTAGCCAGACGACCATCTGCCGCTTCGAGGCCCAGCAGCTCAGCCTCGCCAACAGGTGGAAGCTGCGCCCGTTGCTGAGAAAGTGGCTGGAGGAAGTGGATACCAAGAACCTTCTGGGCTTATGCAGAATGGAGATGATCCTGCACCAGGCTCAGAAGTGGAGACGGGCAAGCAGGGAGAGGCGCATCGGAAACAACCTGGAGCAATTCTTCCTGCAGTGCCCGAAGCCCACAGCCCAGCAAATGAGCCGCATCGCTGGGCATCTTCGGCTGCGGAAGGACCTGGTCCAAGTTTGGTTCTATAACCGGAGCAAGATGGGCAGTCTGCCAACGAATGATTTCTGTCCACCGGAGGAGGTGGGGGTTGCCAGGCCTCCTTTCCCAGGGGGAACAGTATGCTTTCCCCTAGCATCGGGGCTCCGTTTTGTTCCCCCCAGCTATGGGGGACCTTACTTTACACCCGTGTACTCCTCAGCCCCTTTCCCTGAGGGAGGCGCCCTCCTCTCTGCCCCCAGCACCACTCCGGGCGCCCCCAGGCTTTCCAACTGAGGGCCTGCCCTTCTGGGGAGAGCCGTGCTGGGAAACATCCCTGGCGCTCCCCTTGGGGCTTCAGCATTAGTTCTGGTTCACTGTCGAAAGAAGCTAAGAATCCATATGTAGGAAGGGGTCATAGGGTGGGAGTAATTTTTAAAAACTTAGGAATGGAAATTGAAGTTTATTCTGCTTTGTGTTTTTCCTTTTGTTTTTACCTAGCATTGGTTTTAAAATACATTACAATACATAGATGGTTCGGATATTTTGTTTCTTTTTTTATTAATTGAATGTTAATTGTGTCTCATTCCTTGTGGTTATTAGTAAACAGGGTTTAGTTTTTATACACAATAATGAGTGAAAAACTCAAGGCCCAGTAGACTTTCAGTATACCACTTTTATCAGAACAAGTAAAGCTTCGTGTAAACCCAGACACAGAGTCCAGGATATTAGTTCCCTTCAGGGGGAGGTTTGAGGAAGGAATAGAGGGGTACACAGAGCCTACCTGGAGTCCTTAAAGAAACACGCATGTTGCTTGTTCTCTCCTTCTTGAAAGATGCGGTATTTTTCTAGTTCACCTTTTCTTTAGCGTGCCCCAGCTTAAAGTGGGGGTCTCAATTCACATCTCCACCATATGTAGTCCAACAGGTTTAACTCCTGTCCTGCCACCGTCATTATATTTTAGACCCCTTAGTTACTGAGATTGGCAAACTGGACCGCATTGGCTCAGCTCTGGCGTAATTCTCTGCTTTTGAGCTCCATTTGGGTTATTCCCTGGAAATTTCCCTTTCTTTCTAAAAAATCTCTTAAGGCTTTTTTTTAAAAAAATTTATTCTCACCCAAGGATATTTTTTCCATTGATATTTAGAGAAAAAGTGGAAGGATGGGGAGAGAGAGACATCAACTGGTTGCCTCCTGCGCACAACCCAATTGGGGGCTGGAGATCAAATCTGCAACCTAGGTAAATGTCCTTGACTGGGGATCAAACCCAAGATCCTTTGATCTATGGGCCGATGCTCTAATCACTGAGCAAAATTGGCCAGGGTTTGAGCTCATAGGCTTTTTAGAGTATATTTGTGATAGGTGATACAACATTTTCTTGTGGCTTTTATGATGGTACCTCTTAAGTTGCTTTTCGAATCTATAAAATTGGTCTTTTCTAGCTTTCTATCTCTACACCGGTCAGTTCTGGTCATCATATGCCAAACAAATACCATTCAGACTCTGTGTTTTCCCACATCTGGTGCCATATCTCTGCATGTGATATTTATTGTTTTATAATTTATCTATTACTATCTGAGTGTATGTTCTTTTTGCTTACTAGTCTTGTCAGTTTTTCTTTCTTAATCAGTCTTACAAAGAAGTCATCGATAGGTATTTTCAAAGAACAAGCTTTTTTATTTTTTCTAGTTTTTCTGATTTATTTCAATGTATGTATTTTTTGTTGTTGTTGTTGTTGTTGTTGTTCTCAGTGTCTGAAGAAAGAGAGGTTAGTGAAAATGGAGCTAAACTTCAATTGGTTGGCCCTAGATTTAATAGGTGATTAATCACTTACCCTTGGGCTATCCTACTAAAAGTCACACAGCACCAACCACATTCCTTCCTTTGCCTAGACAACCCTCTGCAAAGCCTAGGAAGGGAGATGTTTCTGTAGAGAGTCAGGCAGTGCTTACTGCCAGGATGAATGACTGCAATTGAGCTGTGAACATCCAGCTCCTAAATGCTGTTAGGAGGCTGTGGGCCAGGGTGCTCCTTGAATTCTGCAGCCCCTGCGGATTGGGAGAAATGGTAACGGCTCCTGGGGTCTGTCCACCCAGGGTCTGCCTCAGCACCGGTACAGCTGCACCACTCACAGCTGCTGTGTCTTGGTGTAGGCAGGTACTTATGGGTCACTGATCAGCCTTTACATCATTTAAAATGAGATTTTCCATCTCTGGTGCTCTTGAAAGAGAAAAGGCTAGACCTTGGGGAAACCTTGATATTTAAAAATTTCATACTTTTCAGAGATTGAAGATTGATAATAAGATCCCTCAAAAATGAGAAAGAACCACCCTTGGAGTTGGAAGAAAACCAAGTGTGGTGTTGGTGGTTAACAGTGTCAAATGTACAGAGATCAAGTAACATCTATCAAGTAAGATATATCATTTCACTGACAGCTGTGCCACTAGTATCTTTAGTGACAACTTTTTCAGTGGAATAGTTAGTAGAGGCAGATGCCAAACAACAGTCCAAAGTCTTCAAAGTTGCCAGATTGCCCCGTCCCTCGATTAAAGCATAAATTCCGACCACTCGCTTAATAGTATTTCACCGCCATTCTGAAAATGTTTCCTTGTCAAGTGTTTCTTTTATCTTGCTTTCTTTAGACTAGGCAGGTATTTTTAACCTGAAGACACTGGGCCCCTTTAGAGTATAAGCAGAACAGTGTATTTGTACAATATATGTTCATTTTCTTTAAAGATGGTGATGATAACTTAATCACATTTTCAAAAGGTACCCTGACTGTAGATCTGCAGTTTCAGAATTTATGAAACACCTTCCCCTTAGCCACTTTACTTTCAAGAGTTTTCCTTGCCACAGTACTTGTCTAATAGGTCATTCCTAGTGTTCTAAATTGTCTGGGTATCTTTAGCTCAGTATCCTGTAATGGCTCTGAAGCACTTCTAATGTAAGCCTTTCTAATTCAGACTAAATACTGTATTATCTATAATAATAAAAGCGTAATATGCTAATTAAACCAGACAGCCAAACAACCTTCCGGATGTTTGTCATTCCGGACGCCCTTCCTGACGAAGCTGCAGTGGCGAAGGCCGAGGCAGAGGCGGTAAGGGGCAATCAGGCAGGCAGGTGAACAGTTAGGGGCAATCAAGCAGAGTGGTTAGGGGTGATCAGGCAGGCAGGCAAGCAGTTAGGGGCGATCAAGCAGACAGGCAGGGACGATCAGGCAGGCGAGTGGTTAGGGGTGATCAGGCCGGCAGGCAGGTGAGCAGTTAGGGGCGATCAGGCAGGCAGATGAGCGGTTAGAGGCGATCAGGCAGACAGGCAGAGGCAGTTAGGGGCAAATTGTGTCCCTGCTCCTCCAGTGTGTGTTAGGGATGATCAGGCAGGCAGGCTTTTGGTTAGGAGCGATCAGGCAGGCGGGCAGAAGGGTTAGGGGCAATTAGGCAGGCAGACAAAGTGGCTAGGGTGATCAGACAGGCAGGCAGAGTGGTTAGGGGCAATCAGGCAGGCAGGCAGGCAAGCGGTTAGGAACCAGCGGTATATTAATAAATGCATCTAGTATATTAATAAATGCATACTAAGACAAATGACCACTTTGTAAGGGAACATATGATGAGGGATTTAGATAAAGATTTGTGAAAACCTGTATAGCATTATGTAATTTAAAGGAATGATCTCTGAATTTGTTTCCAGCCTATAATTGAATGATTCTCCCTAAATAAGAACAAAACCACAGATTGAACATGGAGGCTAGGAGAATACAGATTATAGGAAGGAAGTCTACAGAGTCGGGTGACACTAGTTCTCCTACAGTGACTCCCACTTAATCTTTCCTTTCTCATCTGTTGTGGTCTCAATTGTCTCTCCCAAATGCAAGCTCAGTCCTGTCTTTATTCATGCTATTTTTTCACTGAATGCCCACTCATTATAGTTTTTATGTCCAAAGCCTACTATATTAGTTTACTAGGTCTTCCATTACAAAGTACCACAGATTGGGCCATTTAAAGAACAGAAACTTTTTGTCTCACAGTTCTGGAGACTCGCAGTCCGAGATCAAGTGTTAGTTCTTTCTGAGGGCTGTGAGGGAAGGATCTGTTCCCAGCCTCTCTCCTCCTTTGTCGATGACCATCTTCGTTTGTCTCTTTACATTGCCTTCGTGCAATCCATGTCTCTGTGTCCAAATTTTCCCCTTTATAAGGACACCAGTCATTGGATTAGGGCCCACTCTAATGCCCTCACTTTAACTTGATTACCTATGTTAAGAACCTATCTATAAATAAGGTTACATTCTGAGGTGCTGGGAGGTTATGACTATTCTCTCTCTCTCTCTCTCTCTCTCTCTCTCTCTCTCTCTCACACACACACACACACACACACACACACACACACACACACACACTGGAGGAGCAGGGACACAATTCAATTAATAAACCTACTACCACTCCTGATATAAGGAAAATGTGTGTGTGCGTTGGGAATTGGGGGTGGGGTGGCATAGGAAGGCAGAGAGACTTGTTTCTTTTTTGTACAAAAAAGTGAATATATGTAAAGGAGGAGTTGTGATGGGAAGGAAAGGACTTAGCTATAGAGTTAAGCAGCCCCACATCTGCATCTTGTCTCTAGGCACTCACATAGGTAATGTCCCCACTCCAGGGTTGGACAACTTCAAGAAAAATAACATTTTTACCTCCCAACCAATAATTTTATGGGTTGAAGAATTTCAGTGCCTACTTATTTCTATCTATTTTAAGAGTAGAACAATTGAACTCTCATCAGTGAGATTCAGAGGAATTGTCTTAGGAAGAAAATTTTAGATATTTTGATAAAGATAATATTCCTGCTTTCCCCAGAAAAATTGATATGTAAACCGGTTGAGAAAACCCTGTCACTTTCTGTTCAGCATTGTCAGCCACGAACTTCATCCAGCTAATGTAACCAGACAGTCAAGTGACTTGCCTTTAATTTATTGTGATTGGGTTATATTTATGAAAAGCTGATCTGCAACAGCTAATAGCAAGTGTTTAGACACTGATTGTTTTCATAGGTAGTTTTAAGAAATTTCTAAACCTAAGTAGACACCTAGTACGTTTGCTTAGTATATGAAATGTAAATCATTTTTTCCTGTAATAATGAGTCTTTAAATGCATGCAAATATTATAAATGGTTACCTCATTTCACACGTACTTCTATGGCACCTGTCTGCTCACTAAATATATATTACCTTTGAGAGTTAAACTAAAGAGGAGAGGTGGGAATAGGCCTACCAAACAAAGATTTATCTGTTGTTCTTTTCTCTCCTAAAAAGGCAATCACCCCAACACCATAGGTAGAAAAGAATGTTTTGTTTCTTCTGTGTCACGTCATTAAAGTAGTTAATCTAAAGCCATA